TATTTTTGTAATAATAAGGACTAGAAAGAGTATCAAAGAATTTTACGATTAGATCAAGTAAGTTAGGTCCATTATGTCCAGACGTCCAATGAGCTTTTGCCAAATGTATTAGCTTTTATTTAACCTCAAACCCACTATTAAAACGCCGTTAATTCCTTTCTTCTTCTATTCCATTTTTCTTCAGTGATCCAATCTCAACTTCTTCATATTCAATCTTCATCATCTTCACTATTCCTCAATGTATCAGCAACCAACAATGATCTTCCCTAATTCAATTCACTCCTACTTGTCTCCTCCAAATTCCCCAAAGAATCGACCTGAATTTCCAATCTTCTTGTGCCGGTATTCCAATGCAGGCACATTCATGCTGTGTCCATGAAACTTTCTGGAACTAAGAATTCTCTTTTTGGTTAAGTAAATTACTAGACAAAGAAGACAATCGAAGATGTGTCGGTATGACGGTATTGTATCTGCATAGAGAAGCCGGAGTGGAAGAATCATCATCATTGCTGGTGGCGGAAAGTCAGCCACTTTAATGGCGATAAGGGAAGGTGGAGGAAGAGGATAGATGACGGAGCACAATTGAGGGCAGCAAAAGGCCATAGATTTGTTGAGAACAATATTGAAGAATAACATCTACAGGTGTCTATGAATTATATGGGATCCTGGGAGCATAAGAACACAATCTAAAAACAATCATCAGCTTTTAGAAAAAATTCTCCCAAAACTAATGGTGGACTGAAAGTCAATTAGGGGTTAAATGAAAATTAATACACGTGGTAGAAGCTTATTAGATACTAGACGTAATGGACCTAATTAACTTGATCTAAATTTTATCAAATTAAAAAAAAGACATTAAATGTTTAGATAAAAATGAATGTTATTTTATTAAAAAAAATCAAATCCCTCCAATAAAGTTTAATTGATATTTTAAACCAGAGGGAGTATAAGACATTAGTCAAACTTTCTCACAAATCAAGAAATGTTATTTAAGTTGTTAAATATATTTTAAATTAATAAAAGTAACCTTAGTAAAAAATATGATTCGAGACTTCTTACGTTATGAACCTTATCAACTGGAGGGAGAGTAATAGTTAGTATCACTACAAAAAAAAAAAGTTGATTAGTAACAGAATTTGTGACGGAAACAAATTCCGTCACTAATTTTTTCGACAAATTAGTGATAGATTAGCAACAGAATTTTGGTCATCGCTAACATATTAGCAACGAATTAGCAATCGCTAAATTCCGTCACTAATCTGTCAAAGGAAATCTGTTAATAAATATTTAGCAATGGAATTAGTGACGGAATTTTTTTTGTCAGAAATTTCTGTCACTAAATTGTTTGTCATAGAAGTTTGTGTTACTAATTCCATCACTAATTCTATTTTGTTGCAATTCCGTCACTAATCTGTTACTAATTTTAAATTTTATTATTTTAAATTATAATCTTACAAAAATTTATATAATAAAAATTAAGAATATAATTATTTAAAAACATTTTTAATTATAAAATAAATTGATATATTTGTGAAGTTAGTGTTAATGAAGATATCGTCATCATTCATATCATCATTAGATATATACTGAAAATAGAAAGACAATTTCTTAGAAAACTTGTTTATATTTTGTTAAAATAAATTCCTCTTGATTATTAATAATAATTAAAAAAATATAATAAGAATATTAATAACTTTGTTATTCAAACTGATATAAGAAAGAAATATATAATATATGATAGAAATTCAAAACTAAAAAATAAATTTATATGAATGCAGACTAATATTGAACTGAATTTTGAATTTCAATAATTAAACAATAAAATTTAATCATGATATAATTAATACTGATGATATAGATTGATTTTGGTTTTCAGTACAAAAACAAATAGTATATACAAAGAATTTGAAGAAAATAAATTATATAGGATATATATACAAGTAGGAGAATACTGTTTATCATAATCTATTCAAATTATTTAATTTTTTATATAGAATAATTTATTAGATTTTATTATAGCAGTTATTTTTTGAATAACAAGATTTTTTGACTAATTATAAATGATTTTCTTCAAATATATAAAACACATATAGACAATATAATATAATATAATATAATACATATATATTTCATAAAAAAATATAATACATATATAATTAAATTGTATATCTTATCAATGTTAATTAAAAAATAAATTTAAAAAAATATTTATGAAAAAATTATTTATGATTTAAATTCAAAATTAGTTTAGTTAGAAATTAAAATTATATTTAAAATATTTTTAAAAAAATAAAAAATTATAAAACAAATAATAAAACAAATATTTAAAAATTATTTTGTCATTAAAATAGTTATGATTAAAATTATCATATAGTATATTTTTAGTCTTTAATAATATATATGTATATATAATTGTTTGTGTAAAATAACATTTTATATATATATACTTAATTTTACATAATAAGTTAATAGGTTTATTGCAGCTCAACTGGTAAAGCCACACGCTGGTAAAGCCGCACACGTGCATATATGAGGTCCTGGGTTCAAGCCATGAAGAAGCCACTTTGAGGAGGGAATTATGTGGTTGCAACATGTGGCAAGCAGAGGTGGCAGCACACATGGTAGGCAGAGGTGAGGTAGTAGCGACATGTGGCAGTCATCATCGAAGTGGTAGGGACATGTGGAGGTGGTCACTGGCAATGAAGTGGCGACTGGTAGAGGTGCCACATGGCATTTTAATTTTTTTTTTTTCAAAAATTGGGTTAGTGATGGATTAGCAACAGAATTTCAATTCCGTTGCTAATCAATTAGCAGCAAAGAAATTAGCGACATAACAAATTCCGTCACTAATCTGTTTCCATCATTAATTCGTCACTAACTTCATCGCTAAATAAAAAATTTCATCACTAAATTCCGTCGCTAAAAGCATGTCTTTTGTAGTGTATATTTACTAGTTAACGTTGGGAAGGCAGAAGCGTTAACTCTTACTCATCTAAAACCTGTTGGAATAATTCATAAGTAATTTTTCAATCACAATTTACAGAATAAAAAGTAAGTATACGAAAGAAATCTTATCTTAACTTACATCAAATATATTTATATGTATTTTTCATTGCTACTATACCAACGATCACTAATATTGGTCATTGGACGTTGTAGTCTCGTTGATTACGCGAGGAAACATGTCTTATCCAAGTCCAGAGCAGTCATTAATGTCAAAGTGCAGACATCTCATACAACCTGAGGGTAAGGAAGTATGACATTGTTTTTTTAATTATCGTATGATAGAAAAATTGTGAAACACTAATACAAGTTAAGTTTAGTGGAAGAGTTAAGCCAATCTCTTATAATATGACAAACTAAATTTTAAATTTTTATTAAAAGAATTGTTCATATTTAATACTTTATAGTGTTTAAAAGAGACTTCTGATAAAAGGATATTTGTATTTAATAAAAAAAACAAAAATTGTGAATGATGCAGATGGATCCGGATGGTAAAGTTTTAGTTGAAAAATAATTGGCAACTCGTAATGACAGAGACAAAAATTACAAAAAATATGTGTGGTCTTTAATTAATTTCTTCATTATCACTTTGACTCTTTGAGGAGCACATTATCAATAACAGTAGGCTTTTTGAGTAGCCCCAAAAGAACGTTAATTGGAAGCTTGCGGAGATCCTTTGTTCCCCCCCCCCCCCAAAGAAGATATCCAATTCAAATTCGTCAGGCGAAGACTTAATGTATGTATATGATTTTTAATATAAAACTTACTATTTAACTAATTTGATTATGCTAACAAAATTAGGTAATTTAGTTCATTATAATAAATATAAGACATGTTTTTTATAAAGTACTCCAATTATCTTTTTCAATTGAATTTTCAAATTCCAACGCATCTTTGATTTTGCAAGTACCCGTACTCGCCATTATTCCAACCGAAAATGTAGAACGGGAAATGACATTTAATTATAGGATCAAAAGGTTAGAAAATTTAAATCAAGACCACATAGGTCCTATAATATTCTTCTTCAAAAACCTTTTCATTTTCATTTTCCGTAATTAAAAATAGAATATGAGTTCATATTAAGGTCTAGTAAGTTCCAATTAACAGAAAATTACAATATAAAAAAATAGCTTATTACCAACAAAATTAGAGAAAGAAAATTATTCTGTCACAAATTTTTGGCAGATTACTAACAAAAATTTCATTGCTAAAAATTCTGTTGTTAAATAAAAATTTTATAGCTAAATTTTGTTGCTAATTACATGTTTTTTTATAGTGTCAGTATCAAACGTATGACAAAAGCATTTGTAAAATAATGACTAAACTGCAAATGAAGAAAAATTGATAAGACTAGTTAAATTTTTATTTTCCCATTATAAAAAGATGCGTGTGAGAGACAACATTAAAATTATTGCCCAAAATCACAAATAAAGAAAAATTAATAGCAAATCATTAGAAGTTGATTCTAATTCTACTATACTTGCTTGGCCAAAAAAATCTTTGACATTTAACAATTGTTTCATTTCGCTGTTAACTTATATTCCTCTTTTTTAAGTTGTAAGGATGGAAATTGTACTTGTCAAATTTTTTATCACTTCAAGAAATTTAATACTAATTTTTTCTTAATTTAAAACTTGCTAAACATCATCAATTTACAATTCACATTCTTCTTTGGGATAATTAATTCAAAGGTCCTTATAATTTAACTTGATTTTGAATTAGGTCCCTGAACCTTTCTTTCGTTTTATTACATCCTTTTACTTTCCACCGTCATATATGTCAGTCCTTGCAGTTAAATACGGAGTAACACTGTTTTCATTAGCCCGTTAAGCGTTAAGTCTGATCGAACGCTCTTTCCCTCCCCTTCTCTCAATGCTCAACATCATCTCCTTCCACACCATCCTCCCGATTGTAAATGCTAATGCACAATTGCTTCAAGGAGCTGCTTCATGGTGGAAGCGGCCCCAGTCTCTAGCAAGGGACGGTCGATGATGTGGTCAATGAGATTTAGGAGCTCGCAGAGCTAGAGAACAATAGAGGAAATCGCCGTTGTTGAAGATGTCAAAAATCTGAGGAATATGAGGGTATGGGGAAGAGAGCCATGTGGTTGGTTTCATTTTGGAGACAGTCGCGGTGGAGGGAATCGGTGAGAAGGCGCTCCTCGATGACTTTGCAGGCAAAGAAGTCATTAGAGATGGGGTGGAAGAAGTGGAAGAGGGTGCCGAACCGGCCATGACCAGTCTTTGGGCATAACTGTAACTGTCCTTTGAGTACTTAGAGTGATTAGCACTTTTGTTAAGTAAAAGACTATGTTTGGCTCTGTTTCAAAGACAAAAAACAGAGGCCCTCAAAACTTCAATGGAATACCAATAGTTCTCACTTAAGAGTGATGAGTGTGTAACTAGCAAGTGATTAGCTCTAACTAGCAAGCCACAAATTCGATAGGGTACAGTTCTCTTAACCTCACTAAGATTACACAAACACACACACGAACAGAGAGAGAGTGAGTGATCGTCATTGTAAACAGCTTTGGTTTAGTTCTTTGGCTATAGCTAATAAGTGGCGAGGTTTGCATGAATCTTTTTTGTGCAAAGGATGGAGTATCAAAAGATTTTCACTCGATAGAAAATAAAAGCAATAAACAAGTATTGAAAAAAAAAAGCAAGTAAAAGTGACGCCCCTTAAAGTCTTCTAAACTCCATCCATCGTTATATTTTAGCCAGAAAAAAAAGTCACAGAGGATCCCTAACTTTGCAACCGAGGAAGGAAAGGTTTTTATGGAGAGGTTGGATGGGGATCGGAAGAATGATGGTGAAGGAAATGAAGGTGAAGGAAAGAGCAGATCTTCATCAAACATGTTTGGCTAGTGAAAATTTTTAACAGTGTTAATCCAATCTAACGGTAAGGACTGAGGAATATGACTATAAAAAGTTAAAGGACCCAATAAAAAGAAAAAAAATTCTAGGGACCTGATTCAAAATTGAATAAAACTATAAGGACCTTCGAATTAATTTTCCCTTCTTCTTTTTATAATGACAAAAGTTCATTTGTCAAGATTTTGGCAACTTTCAATGTACGCTTTAGTACTATTTTTTCTGTATTTGCAATATGCTTCATACGAAGTATATATTTTTGTAATATGCTTAACATATATATATGTATAACTAATTTTTAGCATCCATGAATGATATATGTTGATAACTTTTTAAAAAATTTTTTTTAAAGAATTTAAGAATACCTCATCTTCTTCTTTAACTCTCCACCCCTCCGTGTCAGATTCGAAATGGTGGCAAGTGGGAGGACTCTCAACATTTGACTATATGTTGATAACTTTGGTGATGAGATTGATGATATTATCGTAGTGGTAACAATTATGCTAAGATGGACATGGAGGTATTACAAATCCAATATTGGTAATGGAACAATATTTCATGATGGCAGTCGTGGGTGTAGTCCTGGTGGCATTTATTGTAACGTAAGTTGTAAAATAATGATTAAACTGCAAAAGAAGAAAAATTGATGAGACTAGTTAAATTTTTATTTTCTCATTATAAAAAGATGTGTGAGAGAGTGAGAGAGAGAGACAAAATTATTGCGCAACGTCACAAATAAAGAAAAATTAATAGTAAATCATTAGAAGTTCATTCTAATTCTACTATATTTGCTTGGCCAAAAAATCTCTGACATTTGCAACTATGTAAAGACTCATCTGTAACAGTTGTTTCATTTCGCCTTTAACTTATGTTCCTCTTTTTTGGGTTGCAAGAATGGAAATTGAAGTTGTCAAATTTTTTATCACTTCAAGTAGTTTAATACTAATTTTTTCTTAATTTACACCTTGCTAAACATCATCAATTTACAATTCATATTCTTCTTTTTATAATGACCAAGGTTCACTTGTCAAAATTTTTTGCAGCTTTCAATGTATGTTTTAATATTATCTCCGGTTGTAATTATAAGACCCAGTTGACTAATTTGAAGAGATTAAAAAAAGAAGTTAAGTTATTAGTTATTTTGTAATGAATAGGTGTTGTCTTTCCTAAAATATCCTTACTAATCAACTATATTGACTAGAACTACAATTATTAGAAGGACTACCTTGAAAAAAAAATACATAAATATGATAGACAAAGTGGATTGGGGTCTTATATTTAGGATTAAAATAAAAGTCAAACAAGGTCTTATTAAGGACCGGAGGTAGTACTATTTTTTTCTATATTTGCAATAGGCTTCATGCGAAGTATATTTTAGCAATATGCTTAACATATATATATATATATGTATATTAAATTTTCAGCATCCATGAATGATAATGTTGATAGCTCCCCCCCCCACCAAAAAAAAGAAGAAAGAATACCGCAGCTTCTTCTTTAACTCTCTTCACCTCTCGTGTCCGATTCGAACTGGTGGCAAGTGGGAGGACTACAACCTTTGACTGTATGTTGATAGCTTTGGTAATAACGCTGATGCTATTATCATAGTGGTAACAATAATGATAAGATGGACATGGAGGCATTTATGGCCCAGAATAGCAAATCCCATATTGGTAATGGAACAATATTTCATAATGGCAGTCGTGGGCGTAGTGCTGGTAGCAATTATTGTAATGAGTGCTCATCTGTATAGAATATTGAATCACTAACTGTGTTTATATTACAAAATATTGGAGATTATTGTGGATATAGCGGGCTTCATTTGTTATTAGTGCTCCATTTGTCTGTGTATATTGATACTATATGGTTGATATTATATTGAACTAATGTAAATTTTAGATTAAACTAAAAAAAAGAATGGAAAATGTCTATTGTCTAACTTATTTTTCCATAAAAGACAAATGATCCAGCTTTAGACCTTGATCACTTGATAGTGATTTGGTTTTCTTCTTTAATATAACCTATTTCCTCTTGGGAACCGGTTTCAATGCTCATCATCTTGATGAGTATGCTAAACTCATTAGATTTGAATCGTCTATATCTGATTTGAACAATTCAGATTTAAATTTTTTAATTAATTATTTTTAAATAGAAAAAACTATTTTTTTGAAAGAATGATAATTAAGAGATTATCTCTATTTTATATTCTATACATATTAAAATAATTATTTTGAATAAATAAATAAAAAAAACTAAATCTAAACCATCTAAATGAAATATGAATGATTTAGATCTGATAAGCTTAGGGTGCTCATCAAAATAATGAGCACCGAAACTGGTTCCCTCCCTCTTGTCTTTATTATCAGTATATTTCAAAAAGATATTTTTATATCATAAATATAAGTTACTTTTAAAGACGTTTATTATATTGATTATTTTTCTTTCATTTATCTTGAATTTTCATATAAAAATCTCTCGCTATATGTACAGGGAGAATATTCTAGTTTATACTATAGATTTAGTTTAAGAAGCAATTAATATAATGTTAGAATTTATCATAATTAATAAAAATAATGGTGAAAACTGTTAGAATTTTTTATTATTAATGAAATGATGTGATTAAGTAACCAACGTTCGACTCATTTTCTTTAATATACACAAATATTAAAAGTGACTTGTATTAAGAATCATAATGGTTTTAATCTCGTCATCCGAACTGGAATATAAGACATGAAACACTTTATAACGCTCCACATCTCTTTATTTTACTGCATGCAGAACCTATCAAAAACCTCGTTATTATGGTTTTATGAGGCCAATTAAGAGTTACAAGAAGAGCACTAGGAAACAAATGTAACTCACTGGATGGAACTTGCCTTTCTTTGATCCTGTTCACAAAACTTCACTTGATAAGGCACGCACACTCTCCACTCGGTAAGATAACGTTGCTACTATCATATACATTTGATGTTCACAATTCGGAGAGCAGGGGTAAAAGGTTGAGGCCTTCGGACTTTTTAAATGACTTTTAACAATAATTGTCACTTATGATTGTTATAGTTTCTATAAAAAACGACAATTATAATATTTCAGTTTCACTTTTTTATCATGTTGTAACACTTTCCATGACGATTATTTGAACAACCATCGTGAAGAGTTTGAATTTGTTTATAAAATTATTACCACTTTTTTTCACAATGTTTGTTTTTTAAACCAACGTAAAAGGACTAATAGAAGCCTATTTGCGTAATAGTGGGTGGAGTAACCGTTGTTTTATTTCACAGCCTACGACTCCTCCATCAATTAGGTTAAGTTTTATCTAATTGTTATCTTGAGCCAATCACTGTGTGCAAATTTTCCACTATGATTTGGCCCTTAACAAGCAGCGTATAAAATTTTTTAAGTATAAGCCAACTCACACTCTTTTCATCGAGCATGCTCTCCTATAAGCCACTAATAAGTATGGCGCGTCTAAAAGCAGCTCCTCTTATTCTATTCGTAAATTAGAAGAATTTAACAATGTTTTTTTTTAACCTTTCACATTAATATATAATTTTACCCTCATATTGTACAGACTGTTAATTTCTAAACTAGGGGTTATAACCCCATGTAGACGTTTAATTTCTTAGAAAATGTATATATTAAACTAGGATTCTAACCCACTTCTTGGGTTGAAATCTCAAGTTATAGGTTTAAGTACTAATGGGTTGAGGTTATAAGTGGATTGAACCCACAACCTCCTGCTTACAAAAGAATTCACATGTTACCAAGTCACAAGTCTATTTGTGAGTTTGGTTGAATTTTATTTCAAATTAAAACAAAACCAAATGGTTTCAATCCATCTCCATGAGTTACATAATTCGAACTAGCTTAATTACTTCATATGAAATATAATTTTCTTTTTATAAAAAAGGAAAAAATATTATTGCTAAGTAATGTAACTTATATTGCATTCGGTTCTTAATATAAAAGCTAGTTAAGTAATTTGAATAGATTAAGAAAATTAGTTAAGCTAATTATTCATAACAAATATGAGTTGTCTTTCCTAAAATACCCTTACTAATCATGTGTATTTAATTAAAACATTTAACATATACAACTATTATAAAGACTACCTTAAAAAAATAGAAAAAAATAAGGAAAAAAATAGATTAAGCTCTTATATTTATGATTAAATTGAATGTGAAACTAACTCTTATATTAATGATTAAAGATAGTGTAAATTTGTACTAATGTTTTCAATTGAAAATTGTTATTCATGCCATAATAATCAAATAAAAAAATCTTAGATTGAAAAAAAAAATCAAATCTTACTCTCAAAATCAAATAAATTAATTACATATTTTTTTTTGCTGAGCACAGTTATCCTCCTATTAAAGGTAATCCTGACTGAGGCATTATCAGGCATTAAATATGGGCATCTCTCTTAGTTAGGATTCAAATTTT